CCACCCAGGTGACATTCTCAAGAGATTACTGTGAAATACAGAAGGCCAATTTATAGGTTTTCAGGGGAGACTATACCTATTTAGGGACCCAGATAGTTGTATGTTTATTCAGAGGATTCTCTCCCTAAAGAAGAGAGAGCCAAACCGTCACCAGCATTTTGCCTGGTGATTTTTGAATCAGAGCAAAGGATACCAGATAGAAGGAAGATTACCTTAATGTGACTAGACCCATCTACCCATCTTGTTCAGTGTCTTCACTGTAACTCCTTTGGACTGGGTGGAATTAATACTACTCAAGCCTGGTATTTGAGTCTTTTTGCTCACATATTTTAATACAATTGGTTATACAACAGGGTTTTTTTTTTTTTTTTTTTTTCAAATTTATTTATACTTTGATTTGATTCGTGGGTCATTCTTCCTGCTTTGATCAAGCAATCATCATGTCCCTTTAGGTCAGGAGACCATCCATTTCATAAGAGTTTTGCTAATCAAAACTTACTTTTAAGTTCCAGGGCATTCCACTGTAGCTCCCAAGTAGGCACCAAGCAAATGAGAAGGGCTCTAGGACAGTGTTTCTCAGAAAGGGAGAATGACTCAGAAAGGGCTATGACTGTGAGAAGGTTTTCCTGGTAAAGAAGTAACTTAGAAAGCTCAGCTAAGGGTGAAATAGACCTGTCAGCCATTTCTCCATGCTAGATGCTAGCTCCTCTATCTCTGAAGGCCCATTCTGAATAGGATTCTCATGTCACCCATGACCTTGGCAGAGTCATCTTTTTTTCTAGGAGCCCAGGTGGAGTGAAATCATCTATAAAAGGTTCACAGAATGGAAGGCACATTTAGGGCAATGCTATAACACAAGGGAGCTTCTAGGCTTAATATTTTGCTAAGGGCTGTTTGGAAACACACCTTTGGCTGTGGCCTCTACAGTGTTTTCTCTAACTTGTCCTTCCCACTAGTCTATTGACTACGTTTAGAAATCTTGCTGAAGGAAAGTGTTGCATTATGAAACAATCACTGTTTTTGTGTTTTTAACATACTTTCCCCCCAGCCAGGATCTGTCTTTAAGGATGGGTGGTGTATTAGTCAGGGTTCTCTTATAGAGGAGTTTATTAAGTATTAACTCACACTATCACAAGGTCCCACAATAGGCTGTCTGGTAAGTTGAAGAGCAAGGAGAGCCAGTCCGAGTCTCAAAACTGAAGATGTTCGAGGGCAGGAAGCATCTAGTATGGGAGAAAGATGTAGGCTGGGAGGCTAGGCCCATCTTGCCTTTTCACATATTTTTGCCTGCTTTAGTTTCTCTGGAAGCTGATTAGATTGTGCCCACCAGATTAAGTGTGGATCTGCCTTCCCTAGCCCACTGACTGAAATGTTAATCTCTTTTGGTGACACCCACACAGACACACCCAGGATTAATACTTTGTATCCCTCAATCCAATCAAGTTGACACTCGGTATTAACCGTATTAACCATCGCAGGAGGAGAGCATGAGCTACTTTCCAGGTAAGAGCCACCTGACTTCAAGCCCTTTCTTTGTCAGGTTGCTTTTGGGGTCTGTGCTCACTCTGGCACCACAAATTCTGATAAACACCAAAGGAAGCAGGTTGAGGGAAAGGAGATCTATTGGAAAAAGCACAGTGAGGCCCACAGTTGAGGCCCCCAAATGGCCACAGGCTTTTCTCTGAAGAAGCCATGGATCCCCCTCCTGAAGACAAAGCTAGCTCAGCTTGAATGTCAAGTGTGGCTATGGGGCACTGAGCCCAGAGTTTGACCTTTGTTCTGGAACAGAGGTCTCAGATGCGCGCTCCCAGGACTGTGCCTGTCCACAGTGATGTTTTCACTGGGATGCAGTGAACTGTCAGTGTCAGGTCATCAACTGTTTTTATTTCTAGAATGGAAAAGGCTTTCTTTTATTCTGTAATTGTATTTTTCTACTTTTTAATATCAAAAATATTTCTTGTATGAAATTATTATAATGGCAAACATTAGCTTTTTAAAAAAATATATTCAATTAGCAAAGTAAAAAGTTGGCAATCCTTGGATCTTAATTTTTAAGAAAATTAAATTTAGTCTGTGAACCTCACTTTTTGACCAAGGAAAAACTGGTTTCTCAGAGGCTGGGGATTGATTAGTAGGAGGGTTTTTTTAGAAGACATGGGTTTAAAGCTCTTTGCTTCTAGATTCATTCATCCCCCAGTCCTCCCTTGCACTGTTCCTTTCTTAGACCTCAGCTACCCTTAGCCGTGACCCAGTTTCCTCATTGTGCAGCCCCACTTCTCCAAGAACATAGTGAACTTGGCCCGGCAGAGCTGTGGTTTGTGTCCACCCCCATAGCTTATGTCCTTTGATGTTTATAGTTCTGCCTGACTAATGGCCTGTCCATTCTCCTTCAGAACACATAAGGTGATGTCTTCCTGTTCTTCCTAATGGCATTTTTGGCCCACTACTATGAAAAAAGATCACATTAATACATAAAGTGCCCCATGGAACAGATTCTAACTTGGAGATATGATTTAAAAGCTCTGTATAACCCTCAAATATCTTTAAGAAAGGTCACTTTAATTCCCACTGATATTTTATTCAGTGGTCTTCCAGAAAAAAAGAAAAATTAATTTTTACCTGGAAGCAGTAGTACATTAGCATAGTTTATTAGAGCTGTTTAGCCCACTATCATGAAAAAACTTATTGATAATCATTTTCTTATCTAGCACATCACAGGGCCTTGAGGAAATCAGACATGGGCAAGTAGGAAATTGGATGGGGTGATGTAGGGATGAAACTGATTGTGCATTAGAGTTTTATTCTACTCTGGATGGAGAAGGTTGCTGAAAAAACTCATGAAGTGTTTATGAGTGTACGTGTGTGTGTGTGTGTGTGTGTGTGTGTGTCTCCAAGCACAGGGAGATAATGAAGACTCATGAATAATAAAACAGGAGCTAAAAGAAGGTATTATATGCCAAAAATATATGGATTAAGGGCATTAGCCACAAACATCTGCCTGCTTCACAATTCTGTCCAGGGTTGGCCTGAAGGATGAGGAATAGGCCTGCCTTTAACATTTGTGGGGCTGAGTAAAGATCACATTAATGCCCTAATTACATATATCTAAATATTTAAAAGGTGTAAATTAAACCAGTGAACTATTAAGTAAAATCTGTTCTTTTCTCTTTTTTTTTTTTTTCATTTTTTTGAGAGGATCTCACTCTGTTGCCCAGTCTGGAGTGTAGTGGCACAGTTACAGCTCACTGCAGGCTGACCTCCCAGGCTCAAGTGATTCTCCCACCTCAGACTCCTGAGTAGCTAGGACTACAAGCATGTACTACCACACCTGGCTATTTTTTTTAAAAATTCTTTGTAGAGATAGGGTCTCACTGTACTGCCCAGACTGGTCCTGAACTTTTGGATTGAAGTGATCCTCCTCCTCAGCCTGGGAATGCTGGGATTACAGATGTGAGCCACCATGTGTGGCCAAATCTATTCTCTCTTAACTTGACCAACATACAGTTGATTTTTATTATTCATGGATTCTGTCTTTTCAAATTTGCCTACTTGCTAAAATTTATTTTTGACCCCAAAATCAGTACTTGGAGCACTTTCATGGTCACTGATGCACATGCACAGAGTAGCAACAAGTATGAGTTGCCCAATGTGTGTGTTCTCAGCTGAAGTGCCATGTTTTTCACATTTTTGTTTTTTGTTGTTGGTGGTGGTGATTTTGTTATTAAAAATGGCCCCCAAGTGTAGTGCTAATGTGCTGTCTAGTATTCCTAAGTGGAAGAAGGTTGTGATGTGCCTTATGGAGAAATACAAGTGTGAGATGAGCTTCATTCAGGCGTGGGTTATAGTACTGTTGACCATGAGTTCAGTGTTAATGAATCAACAGAAGTACATGTAAAATGAGGTTATGTATTGATTAGCTGGCAAAAATGCAAAACACAGTTAAATATTAATCAGTTGACAAAAATGTTGTGATCAAAACTTTTGGGAACCTAACCCTGTATATCTCCTGGGGTAAGCAATCAACATTCAATAATTCATTGTTCACAGTGACTTTATAGAACATAACTAGTATGAATTATGTGAACTGATTAAACTTCCAATGTGACAAAATTAAAAAACATGTGTAAGGCTATGATTTTTATTTGACTGGAGCTCATGAAAACATCATTGAATTTAACTTAATTATATCAAGTGTGTCTGGATATTTTGTTGATAGGCCTATGATATTTGGATAGATAATAAGAACGTGCACAATTCATTAGCTGTTATAGCTAATTTTACAATATTTATTTGTCTTGCCTTCATTTCATCAAAATCACTAATTACATTGTTACAATCAAAATTTTTACCTGTTCTATTAACATTAATGATTAAAAAATTTTAAATTTAACTATGTTTTAAGTGAATATAACATGAATATGTTTTATAGTAAAGTATAAGTTTATATAAGAAAAAATTTAAGATTCTATATATTACATTTATTTCTTTTAAAATATTAGATATTATTTACTATATAAAAATTAAATTATAATTAATGGATATCAGCATTTAAAATCAGCTTTAATGAATCAAATTTGTAATTTTATTATTTGAAAATATAATTCAACCATTGAATATTTTTATAAAAACAAAACTATTTGTCGTTCAAAGCTCATCAGTTGCCAATCTATTGTTATCATTATAGATCTACATTTATATATACACAAAATGTGATTGTCTAATATTTCTTTCTAGTTGCCGTGTAGAACTGTTGCAAACATTGTGATTACTGAATGCTTCTGAATTAGAACTTGAGAAGCAAGAAAATGAACTTGACATTACTTGGAAACAATACTTTCTTATTAAACAACTCTTCTTATTGAAGAGTTAATTGTCTCATGCTATATAGGAAGAAGTACTTTAAAACTAATTAATTTGTATCTTCTTTTATCTAAGGGTTTTTGTCACAAATCCTTTTCACACTCTGAGTTCCTTTACATCTCTGGTTCTTATGTCTGCAGTGAAACAACCTAGTGAGATCCAGGACAGCATCCAACTTATATTAGACCAACTTTCCTCCCTATGACATTAATAGCTGGGGTATGGATCTGTCCGAGTGACATGTAAACTCCAATCAAATCACCAACTGGCCTCAGAAATGCACACATACAAGGTAAGACTCCAAGAAACTTCGCAACAACAGCCAGAAAGCTAAAAGAGCTGAAGAGAGATTTTGGTGGGTGCCTACTTCAGTAGATTTGGAATTTGGATTTTAATTCCTGCCAAATGAGAGTGATTGGATGAACACCTTGGCCTTCCCATTGAGGGTTCACATCTTAGAAATAAATACAATATTACAGGACTAAATGATTTTCCCCAGGACTAAGGGTGATACCAGAATAGAGCTACTCTTAAAAACAAAACAGACCAGGCACAATCCCTCATGCTTGTAATCCCAGCACTTTGGAGCATCACTTAAGCCCAGGAGCTTGAGATCAGCCTGGACAACATAATGAAACCTTGTTTCTTACAAAAGATTTAAAAATTAGCTGGATATGGTAGTGTACACCTGTAGTCCTGGCTACTCAGGAAGCTGGGTGGCAGAATTGCTCGAGCCTGGGAGGTCAAATCTGCAGTGAGCTGTAATTCACCACTATGCTCCAGACTGGGTGACAGAGTGAGACTGTATTTCAAAAACAAAAACATAAACAAACAGAAAAAACAACCTGCAAACCAAGTCTTCACAAGTTCAAAGTGATGAAGAAGAAGAGGGATCAAATTTAGGGTCTCCACAACATGTCATTCACCATGTTCAATAGATAATACAGAACTCTCAGATGTTAAATAAACAGGAAAATATGATCCAAGGTCAAGAGAAAAATCAGTTTATAAGAACTGACTATAGTTACTCAGATGTTTGAAAAAGCAGAGAAGTACTTTACCAAGATATGTAAAAGAATCTATGGGAAAAATGTTAAGAGTGAACAGTCAGGAAATTTTAGAAGATATACAGGCACTGTAAAAAACATTCTAATGAAAATTCTACAACTGAAAAATGAAGTGTCTGAAGTAAAAAATTGGATGAGATTAGTAGAAGTTTGGTCGCTATAGAAGAAAGGATTATAAATTTGAAGACAGGTCAATAGAAATCATCCAAACTGAAGTACACAGAGAAAAAATGGTTGAAAAATAGCAGAGTCCAAGTGATCTATGGGACACTACTGAATATATATTGAAGTTTCAGAAGGAGAGGTGAGGGAGAATGAGGAAAAAATAGTTGAAGAAATCTTAGTAGAAAAATTTCCAGATTGGGTAAAAAGATACCAATCTATGATCCAAGAGTCTTGGAGAATCCCAAACAGGATAAATATACAGAAAACTAAATCACTAAGAGTCAATTGCTGAAAACGAAAGGTAAAAGACATTTTAATATTTGATACAATTCTTCATTGGTCTCTTGTGTTTCTACACATCTGATCAAGAGAGACTAATTTCCCTTTTGTTCCAGACTACCTTTTCAAGGATGGTTGTATATCAAACAGCCTTGGAAGATAGGGTGTCTCCTTGTGTAGCAGAGGACAGATTTGTTTACTGCTCAGTGTAAGAAATGTAATGTCTCCCTCCAGGACCAAAGTCTGGCAGGCTTACTGAAAGGCAACTCTTAGCTTGCTACTGAGTTCTTGTGTAAACTGAACACCTGACCATGGAGGCATTGTGTTGTGTCTCTCTGCCTTGATATAACCATTTTTGGGTGTGTTAACTCAGACTCAATGAGTAGGAATCTAAGAGCTCTACTTGTCAAATGAAAATGGTATGTTCAAAAATGTAGCTGGCCAGATTCCAGTGGTATCTTGGCTTTACATGAAAAAGCACCTTTTATTCCTTTGGGAGAAATTTCATCTCCCATTTTACTGCCTGAAGCAAAACTACTGCTCAACTAAACCTTGAATCACCAAGGTTTAGTTAACAGGTGGCTAGACTAAAATCTGACCAACTTGAGCTGTTGTCAATGGCCTGGCATTTGGTATGCCACACAGAAGTAACACACTGGTGGATTAATGGAACCCTTCTTTGGGGCCATGAACCATGAGAACAAACTGTGGCAGCCAACTGAACTGTATGAATTACTCATAGATGCCTACAGTAAGGGCCCATTTTTTTTTTTTTTAAAGAGCAGCATGGGACTCTATTTTGTTTATGTTACCATATTTTATTTAATCAATCTTTTATGCTTGAACATTTAGATAGCTTCCAATGTTTTGCAATTACAAATAATCCTTTAGTGAATAAACCTCTTGCATATGCATACATTTTACTTAATTTTTTATAGTAGTTTTAGGTTCACAGCAAAATTAAGAGGAAGGTACTAAGATTTCCCATACACCTGCTGCCCCCATCTGTGCATAGTGTCCCCCATTACCAACATCCTCCACCAAAGTGGTAAAATTATTGACAATTGATGAACCTTCATTGACACAGCATAATCACCCGAAGTTCGTAAGTTTACCTTAGGGTTCAGTCTTGTTGTTCATTCTATGGGTTTGGACAAATGTACAATAACATGTATGTATGACTCATGCACATGTGTTTTTGTATCACTGGAGGTGTATCTTTAGAAGTGGGGTTGCTGAGTCAAGAAGTAAATGCATAATTTTGTCAGATATTGCTATATTCTCTTCCAATCGGGGTTATTATAGATTGCATTCCCACCAGCAATCTATAAAAGCTCTTTTCCCCTCTGTATCATTGCCTGCAGGATATATTGTCAAGCTCCTGAACTTTTGCCAGTCTGAAGAGTAAGACATGGTGTCTTGGTGGTTTTAATTCTTGTTTTTCCTTTGTCTGACTTCCATTTCAACAACATTCTCTATGACCACTTTAAAAAATTATAATTGTATTTTAATTAAGTAGAGATATGGAAGATTTTTTAAAATATCAAATTCTGTAGAAGAAATCTACAGTTTATAGTGTGAAATGAAAAAAAGCACTGCAGAAGAAAACAAACAAAACAAAAAGAATTGCAAAAGAAAAGATTAATGAGCTAGAAAAAATAGAAGTAGAAACTAACACAAATGAAACATTCAAGGAAAAAGGAATTTAAAAAATAAAAAGACCCTCAGTGGAAAAACTTTAAACACCCTACTATATGGGTAAAAGGAATTACCATTTTTTATTTCTTTTTAATAGTTTTTTTTCTAATTCCGTGAAAAATATCACTGGTAGTTTGATAGAAATAGCATTGAATCTACGAATTACTTTGGGTAGTGTGGCCATTTTAACAATACTGATTCTTCCTATCCATGAAAGTGGAATGTTTTTCCATTTGTTTGTGTCATCTCTGATTTCCTGTGCAGTGATTTGTAGCTCTCCTTGAAGACATCCTTCACTTCCCTTGTTAGCTGTATTCCTAGGTATTTTATTCTTTATTGTGAATGGGATCACAGTCTTGATCTGGCTCTCAGCTTGGATGTTGTTGGTATATAGAAATGCTATTGATTTCTGTACATTAATTTTGTATTCTGAAACTTTGATGAAGTTGTTTATTAGATCAAGAAGACTTTAAGCGGAGACTATGAGGTTTTCCACGTATAAAATCATATTGCATGCAAATAGGAATAGTTTAACTTCCTCTACTCCTATCTAGATGCCTTTTATTTCTTTCTCTTGCCTGATTGCTCTGGCTAGGACTTCCAGTACTGTGTTGAATAGGAGTTCTGAGAGTGGGCATCCTGGACTTATTCTGGTTTTCAAGGGGGAATGCTTGCAGTTTTTGCCTATTCAATATCATGTTGGCTATGGGTTTATCATAGAAGGCTCTTACTATTTTGAAGTATGTTCCTTCAATGCCTAGTTTGTTCAGTTTCAACATGAAGTGATGTTGAATTTTATTAAAAGCCTTTTCTGCATCTAGTTCTGTTTATGTAATAAATCACATTTATTGATTTGCATATGTTAACCAACCTTGAATCCCAGGAATAAGGCCTACTTGATCTTGGTGGATTAACTTTTTGATGTGCTGCTGGATTTGGTTTGCTAGTATTTTGTTGCAGATTTTTGCATCTATGTTGGGATATTGGCCTGAAGTTTCCTTTCTTTGTTGTGTCTCTGCCAGGTTGCAGTAGCAGAATGATGCTGGCCTCAAAGGATGAATTACAGAAGAGTCTCTTCTCAATTTTTTGGAATAGTTTCAGTTGGAATGGTGCCAGCTCTTCTTTATACATCTGATAGGAATTGGCTGTGTATTCATCTGGCCCAAAGTTTTTTTGGTTGGTAGGCTTTTCGTTACTGATTCAATTTCAGAGCTCATTATTTTTTCTGTTCAGGGTTTCAGTTTCTTCCTGGTTCAACCTTGGAAGATTGTATGTTTCCAGGAATTTATCCATTTCTTCTAGGTTTTTTAGTTTGTGTGCATAGAGATGTTTGTAATAGTCTCTGAGGATTTTTTTTTTTTTAAATTTCTGTGGGGTCAGTGGTAATGTCCCCTTTGTCATTTCAGATTGTGTTTATTTGGATCTTCTTTCTCTTTTTCTTTATCACTCTAGCTAGTGATCGATCAATATATTATTTATTCTTTCAAAGAATTAATTTTTGGTTTCATTGATCTTTTGTATGATTTTTTGGTTTCAATTCCCTTCAGGTCGGCTCTGATTTTAGTTATTTCTTTTCTTCTGCCAGCTTTGGGGTTGGTTTGCTCTTGTTTTTCTCATTTCTCTAGGTATAATGTTAGGTTATTAATCTGAGATCTTTCTAAGTTTTTGACGTGAGTGTTTAGTACTATAAACTTTCCTGTTAACACTGCTTTGGCGGTGTCCAATTCTCATATGTTGTTTCTTTGTTTTCATTTGCTTCAAAGAATTTTTTGATTTCTGCCTTAATTGTTTACCCAAAGGTCATTCAGTAACAGGTTGTTTAACCTCTATGTTGTGTGGTTTTATCTTCTCAAATTCTTCCACAGAAGCTGGTTCTCTGAGGCTACTACTTCTAGACCTACAAACTTTCAAGTACTTTTTCCGTAGTCAGGGTTTTGTTTCCAGGCTGTGTTTGGTATTTTTTTGTATTTATTATTCTCCTTTTTTCTTCTAGAGATGATTTTTGTTTGTGTTTCTTCTAAGTTCTCTCCTCCCTTTTCTTCTTTTTCATGATGACTTTTCATTTCCTTCCCACCCCCACACA